TAGAAATGTTCATGAACAATGTGCGAGAGTTCACTAAAAATAGGGGTTCTTTATTCAATGTAAATAATGTATCCTTTGCACACTTATGTGCAACAAGGTTTATCTTTCTAGTTTGCTGAACCTTTTGAGTGCAAGACTAGTCATGTATTATTCATCTTAAACTATGTAACCGATACGTGTGTTTTACAATCGCTTAGAAAGAAAATGTTAATGACGGTAAAATCTTTGTTTACCTGATTTAATATTTAATGCATACATAATGTAAACCCTACTCACATCATAAGTTTTCTGAGATAAAATGCTTAATCTTTACCTGCTTTTGATCATTATTGTTCTGATACTCCAAAATGACTGAACGTTTGATGAAGAGTATATATTATCTGCAGTCAGACCCAGGGTAGTATGGTGGCGTTGAGAGTTTGCAAAGAGCTATTGTTGAGAAAATAGGTAAAAGAGTTAATGATGCTGAAATTTAAAAAAATGGTTAGCAGAGCAGGATGTGTACAGTCTACATAACCAGTATCAGTTAATTTTAAAAGAAACAAAGGAGTTGTTTGTAAAATGGTTGTACAGACGGAATTGTTTTTAATGCAGAACCAGGTTTCAGACTGGGTATCTGATAACAAAGAGAAGTACGAAGTGAGGTATGAACTAACCAGCTGGCACAATCTACAATGCTACTTTAAACAGATCGACAAATTATTCCAAAAATAGGGAAGAAAAAAGAAACAGCAGGAATAATAAATAAAAAGACAAAATGTGTTTTCTGAGGTCATCATTCTACTACTCTTTCAAGATGGAGCAGAGACCCCACCTTCTCCCAAAAATCTTCTCATGTGATATATAAATGAGTCTGCCTACATATTAAGTTAAGAACCTTCTGAGCAACAGCAAACAGTATGGCTCACGAATTCAGACCCAATTTTTACAAGTCGGTCGCTACCATGCATAATGATGTGACCAGTTTGGGTTTTGAAGTTGGCAAAAACATTGGCGAAACCCTAGGAAAAAGAAATCTGACCTATCGTCAACGAATTATGAAACTGATGGGTGCATAACCAACACTGTGCTAGCTAGGTTCATCCTTGCAGTGACAGGAGATCTATTGGACTGCATGATTAATAACCTGAGTCAATTTCAACACGTGTTTGATTGAACCTGACATGTGCTATCTGCAGATGAATGCCTACACATAGGTGAAAAGGCTGTTTAAACCATGGTTGAAATACAAGATGGCTAGAGGTCTGAAATTGTGCGGTATCAAACACACTCCATCCCTGGAAAAAAATTCAAGCCGTCTTCTGCGACTTAGGTCTTCTGCGACTGAGGTTAAAGAGAAACCAAAAGAAATTTGCATAGACCAGGTGTATGAAGACTTTGTGGACTATTGGACCTTTCACTCCTCTCCGGAAGCCCCTGACCAGCCACATACATGGGAAACTTCAAAACAGGCCACGTCTATTCTGACTGCGAGAAAGGCCTAAATACTAAGTTCACCCCTGCGCTCCAAAAAAATTGTTGAACCAAAGTATTTTGCTAATCATCTTCTTGTTGATATTGACGCTTTTCATCGACTCGAAATGTTTACGAACAAGGTGCAAGATTTTACTAAAAATTGGGATTCTTTGTTCAATGTAAATACCATGTATCCTTTGCACACTTATGTGCAAAAAATGTTTTCTTTCTTGTTTGCTTAAACTAGAATGCAAAACTAATCATATACTATGCATCTTAACCTATGTAACTGATATGTGTGTTTTACAATTGCTTAGAAAGGAAATGTTGATGTCAGTCAAATCTTTGACAAAGCTGTCACCAACTCACTGATTCTCAGTGTTGTTTTTCCTCTTTCAGTTGCTCATCTTAGGTGCTGCCACAGCAGATCATTGGTCCACTTATTTGATTTGGCACAGATTTTAGCCGGATGCCCTCCCGTTACCCTCCCCAATTTTATCCGGGCTTGGGACTGGCACTACGAGAGCACTGTTGCACACAACCCAGTTGCTGAGGTTGGTTCCCTGGCCGAGAATCAAACCCGGGCCACAGTGGTGAGAGCGCTGTGGCCTAACCACTAGTCCTCCAGAGACCCTTGTCGATTCTCAATAATGCCTGTGCAGACATACATTGTACATACATTGTGTAAAAGCCTGCATGAAAATCAGCAGGATTAGGCCCTTCTGGTTCCTGGTACGTTAACAGACCAACGGGATTCATACTGAGCCTATATGCTATGTTTCAATTCGCTTTGAATGTATAGGTTTTTTGGGACACGATGCGTATTTTATTTTTCATAGGTTTATAGTTGATCTCCATTTTGATATCCATTTTTTTCATTGTTTTGTTGATTTCACTAAACAGTTCTCCGATACTTTTGTAACACGTGACACGCATGAGCGATTTGAAAGTAATTGGTTTGTACTTTATTTCCATCCCTCAGAGAAACGAGACATAGACAGTCATGCTCTGACTGTCTATAAGTACCAACTCTGGATATATTCAACCTCTGATAGTGACACCTCCCAAATTTAGTTGTGTAGTGTGTGATCTTATTATTTTTTTTTTTCCAGTTTCGGGCCTTTTCAAACAAGATTTTCTCTAATTTGAATGCCTTGTCCTTCCCAATAATAATCTTTTGTAACTCGGGTTCAAAAAATGTTCCCTCAATGTTTTCAACATCATAGTCTTGTAATTTATATACAAGAGGATCTTTGCCCCTTACCTGTAGCAAAGTGAACAATGTTCTGCTTTATCATTAAAGTTTGAAAATCTTTGTCCAAAATCTCCTTCCTTTGGCCAGTTTGTAGGTTTTTTTTGGACCCTACCTTCCTTTAGAAAGGAATCAAAAGCTTTAGTTACCTCAGTTCTAGTCTTGTTTTCTAACACACATACCCAGGCATATTTGGATAAATTATCTATACACATTACCATAAATTTTGTGTTGTCATTACTCTCTGACAGGTTGTTCATGTCAACTAAATCAGCTTGAAATTGTACATCAATGATCTTTACCAAAAAAGACCTTGTTTCTTTTAAACTTTACAGGTACTGATTTATGTAGACTGTACACATCCGGCTCTGCTAACCAGTTTTTTACATTTCAGAATTATTAACTCTTTTACCTATTTTCTCAACAATAGCTCTTCGCAAACTCTCAACGCTACCATGCGACCCTGGGTCTGATGATATATATTCTTCATCAATTCTTCATTATATAATATATATTCTTCATCCATCGTTGATTCATTTTGAAGTATCAGAACAATAATGATCAAACGCAGGTATAGATTAAGCATTTAATGTCAGAAAACTTATGAGGTGAGTAAGGTTTATATTTTTTATGCATTAAATATTCAATCAAAGATTTTACTGACATCAACATTTTATATTCTAAGTAATTGTAAAACACACATATGCATAAGGACTTGACTAGATTTGTACTCAAAAGGTTAAGCAAACATGAAAGATAAAAGATAAAATGGTATTTACATTGAATAAAGAATCCCAAAATCTCACATATTGTTCTTTAACATTTATAGTTGGTAAACAACTTCTATATCAACTATATGTAAGATGATTAATAAAAATACTTTGGTCGATGACTCTCAGTTCAACAATCTTTTTGGAGAGCAGAGGTGAACTGCCTTTCACACAGTCAGAATAGAAGTGATGTTTTTTGAAGTTTCCCATGTGTGTGGCTGGTCAGGTGGTTCCGGAGAGGAGTGAAAGGTCCACTAGTCTTCATACACCTGATCTATGCAAACTTCTTTTGTTTTCTCTTTGACCTTGTTCAGAACAGTTTTGCTGTGATGCTCATCTCGCCAATCACAGATGACTGCTTCAGCCATACTTGAACTTTTTCCAAGGATGGAGTGCGTTTGATACCGCACATTTTCAGACCTTTAGCCAACTTTTATTTCAACCATGGTTTAAACAGGCTCATCACCAATCTGTAGGCATTCATCTGCACATAGTACACATCAGGATTGAACAATTACTTGTGTTGGACTTGACTCGGGTGATTAATCAAGCATCCGTGGCAGTTGTCTTTCAGATTTTGATCAATAATTGTGTTCAACAGTTCTCCTGTCACTGCACGGATGATGGCTAGCACGGTGTTGGTTATGCACCCTTCAGTTTCATCATTCGTTGACAGAGAGGTCAGATTTCTTTTTCCTAGAGTTTCGCCAATGTTTTTGCCATCTTCAAAACCCGAACTGGTGTCGTGGCAAATACTTCTGCAAATCAGAATAACAAAATGAGTTACAAAGACAAGGGGTTCTGGATGCCAAAAATCTATAGACTTTATTGAATCAAACAACAAAGCTGAGATGGTCTGCAGAGCATCTGATTTACATAGTCGAGGCCCATGCTTTTATACAATTCTAAAACAATGATCTCATCGGATGGAGTTTTCTCTTCTTTTCTTTTAATCACACACCTGCCTCACGCCCCAATTATTTCACTATACTATCCTTTCTATCTATCCTATATTATTTCACTATCTTACTTTTAACTGTGGCGAGAGTTCAGTCAGTTTATGTTTCAAAAACAACATTAGCCTTCACCTTAAAAACACCACCTACAAGGTCACACCAGTTTGTTCTCACAGAAACATCCTCGTAGGATCATAGGCATAAAGTCACCCTTCTAAATGTACTAGAAATGGTACAGTGTAGTATATAAATGAAGCTCTGAAAGTTAATACATGAGGTGATTTAAGGTCACTTTTCAATACTGTTTGACATAATACTGATTAACAAATGATATTGATATAGATAACAGGAAATTCCTCCATACATCCCTCCTCTGGGGCTTATCAAGCCCCACCTACCTCAAGAGAGCAATCTCACAATCCGGTTCTTTCATATATATTAACTAGTGATCAATGCCTGATCACTCCTTCTTCTTACCAATAACCAAATCCTGAAACTGCTCTCTTGTGGAGAACAGGACCAAACATCTCCCCTCACACTTGACTAGAAAGGAGTAAAAGATCCTGTCTCCCTAACTTAACTGTCAATTAGCAAATCAACACTGTGTTTTAAGCATGAGCATGCATTTGGTTCAGCACTTGACTGTGGTTGTCTGGACTAGTGCCAGCAGACTCACTTGCCAGTCCATCATCGTCAAGCATAGGTTTGTTCATCAGAGCCATCTGTTTAACAGTTACTCGAACAAGAAAAGATCTTAATATGGGCACAACACAGCAAAACAGTAGTCCTGCAACAGCTACTACAATTGCTATCATAACTCTCACTTTTGTCAATATAGGTCCCCAATGTCCAAACCGTGAAAACCAATACCAAGAATAGCTTCAGTAAATGCTCCCTCAGGGGCAGTGTTGTTAGGGATAAAAGTACAACATTGTTCTCCAAACATAACACACACTCCTCCTTTTTCTGCCAACAACCAGTCCAATGCTTGCCTGTGCTGCCATGTCATTTTACTAGTAGCATCTAACTGTTCACCTAATGCTGAGAGTGCCGCATCTGTAGTAAATGTAATTAATCCACTCTGTATTCTTGTTAGGAGTTATCCATACCAAAATAGACTCAAATCCTGACATTATCTCATTTCTTGCTTTAAATTGTTCAGGTATTCCTCTAGGCTGGCCTATATTGAGTCTATGTACACCTTAGGATCTGTCTCATAAGCTCTCTTTACTCTGTGAGACTTTCTAGTTTTTTCAAGGAACTGATCAAACCCCCAGTCAACTATCACAGTTCTTTGAATCAACCATACTCTAGTGCAGATTCCCTTCCAATTTTTAGGTAAATTCATTCTTAAGCATGTCCCTGCACAGAGCAAAAAATGATCTGCTACTGCCTGAGATTGGTCAGTCAAAGCGAACCTCAATGGTGGAGTTAGAGTTTGATTCATGCAAGTGTCATCTAAGTGAGTCGAGGCCAGTACTACTGTCATACTGGTGGTTACTGTTGCTAGTGCATGACCTTCCGACCACTGGATATATTCTGTGCGTCCAAAGAGGCGGGAATCCAAGTGCCATATTATTGCACAGTTACCTTGGAATTTACCCAAATCATGCTTCCCATATGACTTGTTAAAGCATTCATACTCCAAAGTGTAATCTATGTTATACCACTGTGGTGTCTCTCTACGTTTTTCCTTTATTCTAACATCCAGTTGTGGGCACCACCCTTTCCATGCCTCTGTGTTATGCATTAAATTATAAAGAGGGTTGCCTAAATACTTTAAACACTCGGCTGGGCAGTACGAGTAGTCTGTTCTATTATCCCAATTCTTCGCACAATACTGCCTATTGTATTCTGCACAATGTCTGTAATCAAATGGGGTTGGTACCACAATGACTCTGCTCAATGGAGAAGGTGAACATACCAAACAATTACCCTTATTCAAACTACCAGCAGTGTATTCAGCCCACTTATACCACTTATTATCTTGCGCTACCTGTAACAATGCATAATACGTTATCTCTTTTGCAGTGTCATTCAACATCTCATGTGCAACTCCTTGATACGCAGGGTTAACTAGTCTCTCACTGCCTTTACTCATCTGAGAGCCAGTCAAGGCCTGAGGGCCAGTTAAGGGCTGAGAAGTCAATTGACGAGAATGTTGCTTGCTGACTAGTGGACGGGTCTGAGTCTGCAGTAAGTGTAGCAAGAAACTCATCAAGATCACCAGACTCAACTGCACTTTCCTGTTCAGCTGGAGCTGACAATGGCTCCTCTTCTTCCCCTTCAGCAGGCACAGCAGGCTCATCAGTTTCAGATGGAACATCAGATGCAACAGCTGGCTCATCTTCTCCTTCAGGTTCTTCCTGGGCTGGTCCTGGTTCACTGTCCCCTGCATGATTAGGGCCTGCTTCTGGTTCTCTCTCCCCTTCATCTTCTATTTCTCCCTGACTACTTTCTGGCGAGGCTGCCACTAAATCTCCCTCTTCTTCAACGGTTTGAATATCTTCTTGTCTCCTGGGTCTAAGCCTAGGTACCCTTGTACAGTGATTCAAATGATACCAGGCATCGCTCTTACCACTGTGTTTGATCCTTCTCTTCTAGGTTCATTCCACTTTCGTCTGAACACTCTTAGGTATACCTTATCTCCAGG